GCAATGTGGTGAAAACGCTGGGTGCATGACAGGTTCATGGATCAATGATTCACAGTTCAAGTCCCAATTGTGCTATTTAAAGATATAGACCGGTAGTGGTAAAATTGCGGTTCAAGGGTTTTGGGTGCAAAATATCCATTCAATATTGTTTAAATATTGCCTTCAGAGGTTTTTAGATGGCAATACTTTAACCTAAATTCACACAAAAAAACAGAAGTATATATGCCCAAATGTTCAATGTTGAAGTGCATTCACGATTTCTATCCAGGCCGGATTGATATGATAATTTACCAAATATATATCAATTAGTAGGCAGTTTCCTGGCAAAATTTGTATTATCACGTATTAGTCAAAACATATTCTTTCACATGATTGGTAATAAGAGCTTCCATTTCATTTTTGAGAGGGGAGCGTTTTCAAAGCTGGTCTACTACCTTTAATGTATATATCCTCTGCCAATCTTCATTTGACACTCTCAACCCAGGTGAGGCAGAAGGAGACCTGTTCCTGGTAGGAGGGATCTCCTACAATGCTTTCAGAGCTGTAGGGCAACGTTGTAGCTTAAAATCCAAGGTAAATAGCTTGTAGAACCCTTCTGATCCCTTGGGATTATTATGTTCACAGTAGGCATGCCCTCATCGGCTTGAGATTGTCAAATATCCCGCTATTTCTGATTTGGGAAATGAGCGTTACAAATCGCGTCTTCATCAGCTCGAGATTCAACCTCGAAACTCGGAACTCGAGCTTGAGATGTTATGCTCTGCGTTCGTGCATAGTGAGGGTCTTCGGGCTGGTGAAGCAGTAGCGGGATATTTTGCAAACTAGCCCAAGATATCTTAGGATGATTATCTTGACCAAATATATCCCGCTTATTGCAATTGCGGGCTGATGAAAATCTATTTAGCTGGATGATTTGCGATCGGGATAGTTGAAATAGCGGGTTATTTGGCAATCTCGAGCTGATGAAAACAGGCCTATGACTGCAGCTAAACATTATTATTAAGAGCTCTTGATGATAACTATATAGACACTACAAAAATGACATAATTTCTAATTTTAGATGCAACTCTCAAATGGGTAAGAATCCTGATCATTTCAATCATCATAAAACCATTGTTATCTTGACTCATTCATTTCAGCAATCTCGGCATTTGTTGGATTATCAATCAACCAATATCTGATCGTTTCTCAAGATAAGAATTTTATGAGCGTAAGGTTAGAACAAGCAGCTTCCTGCATTGAGGGCACTGGCATAATTGGGAAAGAAACGCAAAGACAAAGGAGTCGTGAAGTTTATAAACAGGCACCATGATGCTTCTAACAAGGTAACTGTATTAAAGGTATAGACCAGGGGGGTGTTTCACAAAACTTGTCATCAGTGCCGAATGACAGTTTCTGTTATAAGCTACTGAAATCCTTGCTTCTGATTGGTTATCAGCAGATTTGTCACTGATTTTTGTAATTTGTCATTGAAAAAGGGCTTTGTGAAACAGGTCCCTGTTTTGGTCATGCGATTGCATTGTGAAAGAAACGTCGTGGAATCTATCAGAAAAGGTTGATCATCTAGTATATAAGTATTGGTGTGGACTGCAAGGTTCTGGAATGATCAAAATGATAAGAAATTTGGCCCAGTCTTGGTGAAGTTACAAGCACTGTACAGAAAGATGTATATGGGACTATGACGCGATACCTATCCAGTCCGGATAGATATGATAATTTACCAAATATATCAATTAGTAGGCGGTTTCCCATCAAAATTTGTATCATCACGTATTAGTCAAAACCTATTCTTACATGATTGGTAATAAGAGCTTCCTTTTCATTTTTTGAGGGGTGGGGCCTTTCCTAAACTGGTCTTTACCTTTAATCTTAGTGACAGTACTTTTTGCCCATGCCCATGTTCCTATGCAGGGATCTACTAACAACAACATTGTTATTGATTGATTGATTGATTGATTGATTGATTGATTGATTCATTCATTGATTGATTGATTGATTCATTCATTCATTCATTGATTCATTCAATCATTCATTTATTCATTTATTTGTAATCTTTTTTCAGGGTAGCTCATTCATCAATAAGTAGTGGTTGTATGCACCAATAAGTAGTGATCTATGGCCTAGTACTGAGAATTCCATTTCTTAGCTCAATCCAATGCACTTATTCAATTTTTTTCCTTTTAAAAATAGTAAGGGCTTTATATTACAACTGGTGACTGCTAAAGTTGCGTCATGTTTGGACAGCTCAGAAGGAGCCCTGGAAAACTAAAATAGAACTTTGGCAAAAATTCAAAAATAAATTAAAAAATGATGGAAGAAAATATAAAGAAATCACACTGTTTATGAGTGCAAGTCCTGGCAGGAAAATGTGTAAAGCAATATCGACAAGCTAGACAAAAGAATTTAAGAATAAAGAAAAATAGAACTTAGACAGTAATGCCTTTAGGAGCAACTTCTGCAGGAACTTCTGCAGGAAGTCGTAGCCAGCACCCAATATCAACAACCTAGACAAAAGAATTTAACAATAAAGAAAAATAAAACTTAGAAAGAAAGCCTTTAGTAGCAACTTCATTCTCTAAACTTCAGGAAGTTTAAGCCAGCACCCAATAATGGTTTCAGGAAAATATAAAGGAATATTATATCGCCTGAAACACAATGGAACACAGGAAAGTCATATCAAAGAAATGTTGGCAATGAAAACGAGTGAGTTCTTCCTTTTTAAATTACACCAGGTTTGGAATGCTAGAGCTGATTTCCTGAGCAATTTATGAAGTGAAAGAAAAAGTTGAGTACTGGTCATGCAATTGCAATTGTCTAGAAGTAAGATTGCTTGGTTAAGGTGTGGATAGGAACACTTGATGGTATATGATTTTTTTTTTTTTTGTAATAAAATGATGTGGCAAATTGTCTGTATCAAGATGAAAATCACAAACAACAACAAAAAACGGATACAGAAATGTGTACTAATTATGGGACTAAATGAAAATGTGGCTACAAAATTTGACTAGAAATTGTCAACTGTTCATTGTCATATCTTTAATAACTAAAGGGACTTTGTATACAATTTCATATGGTCAATAAATAAAACATAAATAAATAAAATGAAAATGTAGACAGATCAAACCTTTTTTATATCTAAAAACAGTCTGTCTGGATAAATGAATTAACAGAAGAGGAAGGAGTAGATACAATGATATGTTGCCATAAATGAATATCATCATGCTTCGCATTTAACTTAATTCCATTTGGCCATTAATGAGCAAAGATTACATGTAAGGTTGCTTATGAATGTTCTGCTTTTAATTTGAGTGAAGATTCTCAGCCTACATCATGCAATCTACATGTATGGCTGTGAGTTGTATTTTTCTAACAGAGAAAAAGGGAGGGAGAGAAAGAGAAAGAGAGACTCAGAGAACAAGGGAAAGATGAAGAGATCCATTCAGTTAATGCAATTGGTGTATAAATATATCTTATCATGTTCCACATTTAATTTCACAAGCTGGTGATTAATTAGCAAAACCCAGACCAGGGTTATTCAAAAATACTTTGAGTAACCCTAATTTTGAAAGAAAGTGTAGCCAGCGCAAATGCATCCCACATGCATCCCACATATGTCTGCAGGTTTTCTTGTGAGTAAAAATAGGGAGATATATAAACTAAATGCTCCCAACAAAATAATTGTAGATTGTAATAATTAAAGACCTTCAAGGCCATACTCTATAGCATTAAAGGTAATACAAAGTTTTGGTATGGGGTCTTGAATTTGGTTTAAATGTCTATATTGAAAGCATGTGCGATTTTACAATATTCAATGATTGTTGTTGCGGTTGAAATTGAGTCTAAAGTGATAAAATTGTAAATAATAAACTCTTTTATGTTGTAAAGCTCCCTGTTGAGACTAATATTACTTTAGCTTTAAAAAAAGATGTTTCTTGACTATAATAGAATGATTTTCTATTCCTGTTTGGAAATTATATATCAGAACTGCATATTCTGAGATTTTCATGGTCTCAGCTACCATGGCCTGAAGCGCTATTTGAAATATTTGAAATTTACCAGAAGCACCGGTAAATTTTTTATTATTTGATTTCTCAAAAGTAGAAGTGTTTTAGGAGCTAAATTTTCTAGTGCTTATAATACATCTACAGGCGCATCCAAATATATCAAAATTTTAAAGAATTACTGTCCACCCAATTTGCAAAATTTCCCAAACTTTGCATTACTTTTAAAGGAAACTCTGCATTCTTTCTTCCACTTTATATGTCATATTTTTTTATACAGTATAGTGACACAGAACCCCAACACACAGAGTGAACTAATTGCTGGTGATTGATACGCTTTGAGATTAAGGAGAGAGGAAGAAGGAGAGAGGAAGAAGGAGAGAAGAAGAGGGAGAGTGATAGAGATAGAGAGAGAGAGAGAGGAAGAGGGAGAGAGACAGAGAATTATAAAAAAAAAGTAGAGAAATAGAGATTTGAGAGAAAGGAAGAGAGAGAGAGAGAAAGAGAGATGGAGAATGAGAGTGAAAGGTAGAGAAAGAGAGAGAAAGAGAGAAAAAGAGATAAGAAAGAAAGTAGAGAGAGAAAGTAGAGAGAGAAAGAGAATTGGGAGAAAGGAAGAAAGAGGGGGAGTACGAGTCAGTGTCCATCAGCAAAAGAGCTGACCAATCCCAGTTCAACCCCACCAAGGCCATTGGACTATCTCCAAACATCATTCAAGAAGACTGCCTCCCACATAATCCTAATGTAGGCGGACATGTTGATAACATTACCTCACTCCACCCACCTTTAAATAAACATGACATCCCCTCCCATCCAACAAGCCATCCCTCCCCCTAACACACGCCTTGGAGCGGCCCAATGATGCACTTCCTTCACTGGTGACGCATGCGCCGACAGGGCAGACAAGCGGGCTGTCCCACGTTCCAGGAGGGGGGTTTGAAAAAGGCAGGAAGCTCGGGCAGGGGGAGCTCGTTGCGAGGGTGCGGGTCAAGTTAGGTTCTTGCCTCGGCGAAACAGAAATCATTTTATCGGTTGCAGCCAAAGCGTGAAGGTGCTAGATCTTTAGGAGGGGATATGAGTAGTGCGCTTAGAATAGCTAGTTGATAGTCTGTGACTCCATTGATTTAAGATACTGAGTGCCACCTGTACCTTTGAGTTACCACAGAGCTTCGTTATTGCACCAATCGCAACACTAGGTTAAAATCTCTTGGCAAAGAAAGAAAGGCCAATTTGATTTCGATTTGAAATCAAGCTACCAGCATTGTGAAGGAAGTTTAATCAGGATACGAACATCATTCAAGTTGAAACACAAGGAATTAATCTATTTGAGGTAAGTGTTCTAAATTTTCTTTTCCATGTAGACACAAATGAAAAGTTGAAAACAAAAAATTCTACCCTAGAAATATTGATTTTGCTTGACAATATTTTGTATGTTGGTATCATCTTTAAATCATTTTAAAAGCAACTATAAATATTGGTCTAAAAATATTTCCCTGAAACTCAAAAAGGCAATAAATACATGTAGCAATAAAACTAGGCAGATCTGTGTAATTAATTGCATGAATCTCTTTACTACATTGTGGCAGATTTCTTGGCAAGAAACACAAGTGAAAACTAGCACTGCCAAAAAGTTTGTGGTTAATAAGTCATCAGTGTGAGGTACTTTCTAAATACAAATTCATTAAAATGATGTATATTTTGTTTGTAGCTTTGAAACATGTTGCCCCTCAGGGTAGCCTCGTTGTAATAATTTACACTTAAATGGAATGATCAAGTAATTAACAAAATTCTATACTTTAAAATGCATTTGTGATGGCTTCTACATTTACATTACCCTACTCAATATTACCCAACTTTGGGTTTAATTGTTTAAAAATCAATTAAACATAAAGTTGTTTGTACAAGAATATGCATTATACACCTAGTATAATTTGTTTTGAAAATTTTAAATTCTGATCATAAATATCAAACAGGCGATTGGCTTATAAAAGTCTTGATATTCCTGACTGACCTACAGGCTTATAATTATGATTGCAACACAAGCTAAATTATTGATTTTATTTTGGATCCAAGGCAAAGTTAACCATCCCCTTTAATCCAGGTTTAAATTTTCTCCAGTTCCTCAATGTTTAGTCTGGTTAGAGATGATTTGTAATCCTCGAAATTGTGGAACTAATCATATGAAATGCTTTATTACCCACTTAATCTATCATTATGAAAAATATTGATATATTCCTTAGTTCTACGAAGTGAGTTCTAATGATGATCGATTGTCAGCCTAATTAATAGGCTTGCTTTTGTCATCTTTATTTTAAAATTTAGCCTTATATTATATATCCACAAACATTAATGAGCAAATAAGCAAATTAATTAGCCATCCGATTTTCAATGTCTTATATCATTCAAAAAGAAGCTCTTCGAAGCAAACGGTTGGCACTCCATTATCCTATAGCAAGATTCCCATCTATTTGATTTCACAAAATGATATAAAATTTTATGTGCTATTTTTGTCTTTTCCTTATTTCAGGGTCACCCAAAGATTCTTATCACCCCATTGATACCTTGCAACAAAGAAGCAATAATTGGATAAACCCCAAATTGGAAACGCCATTGCAGGCAGCGTCTACTTTCGACAAGCAACAGGAATTGAGATAGATGCTCAGCGATAGGAGTGCTGTTGCCGACCATAGGAAGGAAGAAAGCATAAGAGCGACGATCAGGAATCAGCGGAATTTAAACTTCTTCTGAGTCAGACGTTTGATTTGGTTTATCCCAAGCGGGAGAGAACAGCCCCCGCAAGACGAGAGATTTAAGGTTGTGAGCCAAGGGAGATGACAGAGCCTGGGAACGTCTGGTGAAAGAGAACGATCGGATCAAGGTGCTGCCAATGTAAACTCCGTGCCGTCTCTGTGGATGAGCTTAGCTGTGTAGGGCACCTTGAGAGACTGGGAGGTCTCGCTGCTTCGGAGCGGAAGTTAGATGATCGATCGAGATACCCTGTGAGTGAGTGGGGCAGGAAAACGTGCTAAATCAGGAGTGCGCTTTGAATAGAGGAGTACGGAAGCAAGTCTTATGGAGTAACTTGTACCCATGATTTGCCTGTGACTGTGAGGGACTCCACTGCATTCATCAATGACTTGTAACTTATTGACTCTGCAAAAAAGAAGGTGATCTTGATAAGAGTTCTGCATCGTTGAATGACACTGGAATAGTTCAAACGGAAGCATTAGATCATCAACATCCTCGAGACTGTATCTTTAACATTCCCTGTACTTGTAAACGACCTGCCTGGCCATGGAGATGACTGTTTTTGTGACGGTAGCACTGACACACCTTTGCTTACAAGTGTCTGCCCAGTTTATAGGGAACATTCCTGCTAATGGAGGTTTTGTATCCGAAGGAGTCCAACCGCCTATCGACCCCCTGGACCCCTGGGCTTCTGTGGGCATGACCTACCCATCTATCCCAAGTAAACCTGGACAACCTGGTTTCTATCCGCTTCCAGGTTACCCTCTTCCAGGAGATCCCATGCATCCGGCTAATCGTGGTAACCCTCCTGTGCCTCCTCCTCCTCCGCAGAACCCCTGGCTACCAGGTCGGCCTGGGGTGGGAGTTCAACCAGGAACACGAGTGCAGCCTGGTGCAGGACCAGGCAACAACCCCAATACGGGTAGGGGTAACACCGGGACATCACCAATCAACCCTTTTAAACCCCCAGTTCAACGGCCACCGGTGCAGCGGCCACCAGTGCAGAGGCCACCGGTGCAGCGGCCACCAGTGCAGAGGCCACCGGTGCAGCGGCCAACGGTCCAGCAACCACCGGTCCAGCGGCCACCAGTCCAGCGGCCACCGGTCCAGCGGCCACCGGTCCAGCGGCCACCGGTCCAGCGGCCACCGGTGCAACGACCACCTCAAACGCCACGACCAAGACCAACCCGCCCCAACAGGCCATCAACACCTGGAGTAAACACCCCAGGACGTGGTAAGGGTCCCATTGTCGTTGAGCCAGTAGGTCCAAGGGTCACCACTCCAAGGAGACCTGCAACCCCACCAAACAGAAGACCAACGTTCCCTCAATATCCACAGGCTGGTGCCACACCCTCGCAGCCTTTCATGACCTGCTCCCAGAACCCCTGTCAGAACAGAGGAGTCTGCACCAACGACCCGTTCACAGGGTTCAAATGCGAGTGCCGGCATCTTTACCTTGGAGAGCGTTGCGAGGTCATCATCTCTCCTCCTCAGCACATCAATATTGACACCGTAGCGACAACCCGAGCATCTATTTCTTGGAGAGTGCCCCCTAGCATCGACGAGGAGATATCAGGATTTATCGTGCAGTACAACAAATTTGGATTTGATACCTTTTTCTACAGTCCTTTTATTCATCCATCGGTTGCGGATTTCACATTAACAGTGAGTACCATCCTCTCATATTTTTGTGTCTAATCTCTTCTGCACAACCCTACTGCCTATGTAGAGCATTAAAGGCTGTCTGTACTAGTTTGGCTAGGACAGATTAGACCACCCAGGAAGGTCACTGACAGGTGGCTATCTCATCAACTCAGCTCTCAATTAACATAAGAAAAAGAGGATCATGGGGGACCAATGGTCGCCGATTAGGCATGGTTTTCTATATTGAGGGAGCAAGTAGCTACAAGTAGTACAGTGGGCCTTTAAGTTCATGAGTTATATTGTCATGATTTTAGACAGTTTCAAACTCTAGGTAAAAATGTTGAATGTTTCATTTCCTGCATTTCATTATTGGCAGGGATCATTAATATCCCAAGGCTTGGGACACATGGGCCCCTCTCTATAAAAAAAATTACTTTCAACTACTGACATTAACAGGTCCAGTCCGAGCACCCCCCCCCCCCCCCCCCCAATGTTAAATTCTAAGGAGTTCTGTGGAGCCTACATTTTATCCATATTTCTATATTTTTAAGAAGTGTTCTAAAATATCATAAAGGAATTAAATTTGCAGGCAACTGTTAAATTGACATTTTGCAAAAGACTGCAGAAACTATGGCAACGACTCACAGCAGTTCCTCCACCACATCATAGCACAAATGTGACAAATTGAAAACATGACAAGCACTTAATTTATCCTAAATACGGCAATTACCAGAATATATGCAACGACCCAGATAACATGTTATCTCTAATTCAAAAATCCCCTAATACTAACTTAAAAATTCCCTTTCCATTAAAAGAATGCACAGACCAAAAAATAGGACTCGAGTACCTAACTTTCAATAAAGAACTATATAGGAAGGGGGACTACCCTCTTACCCCAAAAAAATTACTGTAACTCATCTTTAATGGCATCAATCATCAAATGAAATTTCTTCTATCAGTGGTTTATCACACATAACTGAATTACTTGGCTTTATAACCTGTAGAGAAAACGGTTACCTGAAATATTTAAAAACAACAGTTTCAACTTTAAAAGTTGGAAAATGTAGCTTATATGGCGACTAAATATGAAGAAAAACACTTAACAGGGTATAATTTTCTACAGACCTTTGGTCTCCCTAGATCTGCAGATCAAAAGAAAATTGGTCTGAACTCCTAAACAGTGGTTTTCTGACGTTTCCTCTGGCAAGAACTGCTTCAGGCATCAAAAGAATAGGTGTAGGGTCGGAAATTTGGAATCAAGTTTAGGTTAGGTTCAGGGTTAGGTTTAGGTTTATGTTTGAGGTTAAGGTTAGAGTTAGGTTTAGGTTTAGGTTTAGGTTTGAGGTTAGGGTTAGAGTTAGGTTTAGGTTTAGGTTTATGTTTGAGGTTAGGGTTAGAGTTAGGTTTAGGTTTAGGTTTATGTTTGAGGTTAGGGTTAGAGTTAGGTTTAGGTTTAGGTTTATGTTTGAGGTTAGGGTTAGAGTTAGGTTTAAGGTTAGGGTTAGGAATAGGTTTAGGGTTAGGTTTAGGGTTATGGTTAGGTTTAGGGTTAGATTTAGGGTTAGGTTTAGGGTTAGGGCTAGGGTTAGGCTTAGGTTTAGGTTTAGGGGTTAGGTATAGTGGTGGGCCCAGGGCTGAACCTAGGAATATTTGTTTGGTGCAGAAAATTAACGTGGAGCAACTGTCGCAGGAGCATGTGTCTCATAACCGATTTATAACCCGAGCACATGTATCATATTCCTGGTCTGCCAATGACAGATGGACTCTGCATCAGTTCAGAAATTACCCCTCATCCCCCCATGGATCCAAATCTGATTACGGCGGCTTTGAAAATTGGATAACAAATTTGAAGTGCAAATCTTTGGCTGGGCCGGGCCAGGATTGAGGTGCTTATTTCATTCAGAACTGGCCGAGTGACTTGGCAGTTTACCTTTCCCACCACGGATGAAGGTATTTTAGGTGACAAAGATAAAAATATTACAAAGCATTTTATCATTAATACTATTTGAGATTTGAGTCATAAGATTTCCATTTCACAAAAGGAATGAGAGAGATTTTTTTTCCTCCATTCAACGTAATACAAAAAAATAGTCCATTTGATAACTTGTATTTCTTAATTATAATTCTTTATCTTATGGAAAGAGTGGAACATTTTATAACTTTGATAACTTGTATTTCTTAATTATAATTCTTTATCTTATGGAAAGAGTGGAACATTTTGATTAAAATCTATATATCCAATAACTTATATTGGGATTATTCTATCTCTCCTTAAAAGGGTACAAAAATCTTCACATCATACATCAGCATCACATGTAGATTAAAAATTGTACAAGAAATTGCTGATGATTATTTGACCATTTTACAAATGTACATACTTGCTGAGAATTCTGCCATTAGAGAGGCGATAAAAGAAATACACAGGATATCTATTGTTAGGACTCTGGACATAAAAGCAGGGGCCACTTAACAGAAAGGAAGGAAATAATTCCGAACCACAGCTACAATTTCATACCTGGTGAATGACACAAGCTTAAACTAACCGCAACACAAACACTGGATGGGGGGTCCACAGGTCTGACACTCAAATACCAAGGGTCAAAGTTAGATTAGATGGGATTAAATCATTATAGAAAGAAAAAAATTGACCAAAGAAAATAATTCTGATCCTCAGCTACAATGTCATACTCGGTGAATGACACAAGCTTATGCTAACTGCAACACAAACACTGGATGGGGGGTCCACATGTCTGACACTTAAATACCAAGGGTCAAAGTTAGATTAGATAGGACTAAATCATTATAGAAAGAAAACAATTGACCAAAGAAAATAATTCTGATCCTCAGCTACAATTTCATACCTGGTGAATGATACAAGCTTAAACTAACTGCAACACAAACAAACTGTGGGGGGTCCACAGGTATGACACTTAAATACCAAGGGTCAAAGTAAGATTAGATGGGATTAAGTCATCATAGACAAAAACTAAAATCATCAACCAATGTCCTTGTACTGGATATTAACACTTTAGTTGATTTTTTTGCCTCCGCTCTGCACAGAGGCTTGTTTGCCACACATGCAATTTCAACACAGTGGCTTTTTTAAACTAAATACTTCCGGTCTTGATTAGCTCTCAGACGAACCTTTTAACACTGGTAAAGATTAATCTTGCAATGGAACCAGTTACATAATCTTGAAGCCTTTTGTATATCGTTTGATAAATACTATGTGAATGGCGCAGGGATATTATTTAGGTGGCACATGTAGAGTTAAACTATTGCAACTGAAAAAGGGCTACCCCCTGGACATCCACCCCCCCCCCTCCCCAGATATCACCCCCAGTCAACCACCACCTAGGACAACAATTAGGTTTTTTTTATAGTGGTAATAGATGTTATGGCATTTTCATTTTTTGTGCTATCTTTACATCTTCTATAGATTGTATTAGGTCAAGTTCAAGGAATTTGGTAAAATAATTAGGTAAAAACATGTCTGTGTGTCTATTCAAAAAAAAAGTTAGAAACTGGAGAAAAACATTCTCTGTTTCAATATAAACTGATCAAAAAAAGGATTTGTAAAATCTCTGTCCAAATGGATATAGAAGCATCAATCAGAAACTTCTCCTGTGTGCTAACATATATAAGTCAACGATTGATATTAAAAAAAAAACCTACTTTAATTATCTCAAATATTAAAATGTCATGTCTATAATATGCTTCAAAGATGCATTAATATCGGCTATTTTTGTTCTATGATGTAACATCCATAATTACCAACTTGATCCATAATTAACTGCCCTTGTATAAAAATATATTTTGCAAATAATGATCATTTCTTCTGGTATTCTCTAGAGCATCTATCCACATCCTGAATGTCTCCAATATTTCCTCCAAGTTAAGAAGACCGAACAAGACCTTTGCATAAACCCACCGTGACACCCTATTTTTATCTAGCAATCTATTTTTAGCATGTCAGCGTTTATTCCAGGTGGTTGTCCACAGAAAAAGGATGAATCACTTTGAAAGACAGATATTGTCCATGGTTAATTGGTTCTTCCACATCAAAGGTATACTTAAGTACTAAAATGTTATCGGCTTTCAATTTGAACTTGACATACCCGTCTCATACCTCAAAAGTGAACAGTTTCCTTGCAAATTAAAATGACCTTTCTGCCTTATTTTCCATTAAAATTATTTAATGAAAAGTGTTCAGTGAAACAAAAGTAAACATACTGGCAAAAATGTAAAAACATTTTTTTTTTAAGTGAATATGTCTTTTACTACTAAAAAGCAAATCAAGCGAGAGCTTTATTTTGAAAAAAATATATCTTTTAACAGTTGACACCAAATCATCCATAATACAGCCAAAAATACCACATGTACATGAAGTTCTAATATTAATTCACACACAGGTAAACATACCAAAGCAAAGAAGAAGAAAGAAATAAAATGTTCTACCTATATTTATCTTTCCAAAAACAAACCGCTCTCGATCATACCATATACCAACAAGCTGTGCATGATGATGATGGTGGTGACACAAACTTCTGAAATCTTTCTTACACTGAAATTAGCTTATAAAACTATTCTAAAAATATATATCAATGTTAGGAATAGCCTTTATAAAATAAGAAAGTTTGGCTTTTAATTGTTAGATATCATCACTTTCCAGTGTGGAAGTTATAAAAGAAATCAGACGGGGGCATTACCATGGTTACAGACATACACAAGTAAATTCTAACAAATATTTGATGCAAGTCATTTCATAAATATATTGAGAGATATTGAGTTCACATGGGCGGGCTGTATTTAGAATAACATTCAGTTTTATCATTCAAAATCCGGCACTTGAAATAAAGATGACTACGACTATTTGAACCAAGTCATGCTATCCATTCTAGAAGTCGAAGCAAATATCAGGGCACATAATTGATCAAAATAAATTTCAAAAAATATTTGTCAGAGGATGAATAAATTAATAATGTGAAAGGGCACAGGAAAGGGGCGTTCACAGATGAAAATAATTCTTATCATTACAAATCTGCAATTCATGAAAAAACTTGACTACAGTCTTGAGGCAAATTTATAAATTAGTTTACAGGAGCGTGTGCAAATTAGTAAAATTATTGGAATTGCAACAACAAAAAAATAACCCCCCACGTTGCTAGTCTTAAAGCCCCACGGCACTAGTTTGGCCAGGAGGGATTGGACCTCCCTGCATGGTCACTGACAGGTGGTTATCTCATCAAATAAGCTCTCAATTAACATAAGAAAAAGAGGATCATGGGGGACCAATGGTCAACGATTAGGCACTGTTTGATATATAGAGGGCACAAGTGGCTATAAGTAGTGCAGTGGGGCTTTAAAGCTCTCGAAAGGAACATGGGTTGGTCTATTTCCCGAGGGGTGAGTGCATGCAAGGGACAGGGGAACTGGTTGATCTTTATGGTGTAAATGTCATCCCTTTGGGTGCTTCCTAAAGGGAAACACGCCTGCGCTATAAATGTTTCGTTTCACACTCCTGATCAGACAGCTTAAAAGTAAAACATGTAGCGTTTATGAAAATATCATATTTATAAAGTCTGTTGGTCGATCAGCGAGGAAAAAACATGAGGAAATGCAAGAGTCCAATTTAAGGCGGGAAAACTACAAAAGTGCTCTGGAAAATCTTCCATATATATGCAAGAAGTAAAATGGATGTCAAAAACATGTGTCAGACTTCTCTGCTACAGCAACCTACAAAGTAATCGGAAACTCCATTCTCTCTTTGGTTTACAATTCTTTAAAAGCTGCATCTGAAGACATACTAGGTACATGTACTATAAACATTTGGCATATTTGTTCTAAAAATCCCCTTTACGTGAAAGTCATAATAAACTTCATTCAGAGAAATGAATTTGACAGAGAAATCAGGGCCCTTTAAATTCTGCAGACAGGTTACAGGTTCAGGAGCAACAAATTTCCGTTACCACGACAACGGAACATAGAACCTCTGACAGTGCTAAAAAGGCTGGCTTGGGACTTGCCTCATCCTCTCAGGAACCCCGAAAGCGAAATGTTGCCATTTTCAATCTTTCTCGGGACGAGTCATTTCGGTCGAGATGACGTTCGGACAACTTTTGTTTGTCCATCCCCCGAGGATTCGTTCCTCGAAATAAACTCAGCCATCTCCTATTGTGTTGCACAACAAACACATGCATATGTATCACACATCGGTTATATTTAGGCTTTTATCTACAGATCTTTTAAATAAATCCCTAACGGACTGATGTAAATACATGTTGGTAAATATGATATAATTCACTCGAAACTAACGCTCAGTTTTATGCAGAATGTCTGTGGCTTTGTTTTATTATTTTAATCAATGAATGCATGAAAGAAAGAGATGATGTAAATCATTCATCAAAAAGTCTGCTTACATTAATTCATTAAAAACTGAACTAGTCTCCGACCAATACCCTCCCCCCTCCCCCCTTCGCCAAAGAAACAAATGAAATGAACATAAATAAATATTGAAGAAAAAGTATTCACCGTTCATTGTTTGTCTGTAGACACATGGACATTGGCAAAACTCGAGACTTTGAGGTCATAAAACTGACTGGATCGTACTGCTCTCTTCACTGAACACATATTACATTTTTGCCCTCGACCTTAGGCCCATGTTAGAAACCAAGGCCCAAAGTAGGGAGGCATGATGGCTCAGTTATAGAGCAAAGGTCTTGAAAACTGGAGGGTCATGGGTTCCAAACCAAGTAGATGCCCTAGTGCCCATTGGTAAGGCATTAATCCTCACTAACAGATCCCTCAGAGAGGATTTAAATCCGTTTTTAAGTTTTTACTTACAAGCCTACGCTTTCTTAGTGGTCAAGTTTCTTAGTGGTCAAGTATTACAACCCAAACCTAACAAAGCCCAATGAAGATATGGTTTGCTTTAATGTAAACTGCGAAACAATCAAATTAGAACCTTTAACTTGACTCCTGAAAGTCTATTCCTGATGTATGTACGGGAACCATATGAGAGAGGAAAGACCCATTAGAAGGGAGCATCCCTCTTCCTTATTATATCTTCAAACTTGTCAAATTGCGTCAAATTGCCTCTAAGACACACGTGCGTTTACTTACTGCCTTATCAGTCACACGTGGATCTTCACAATCTCTTTCATGAAACGGTTCTCTAGGAAACTTCCCTTCGACTTTCATTCAAGTTCAGCCTTTATCCATCTCTCACTGTTACGTATTATCATCATATTGCCTGTTCAGAGCCAAAAGGGCATTAACTATAAGTTAAAGATTACAAGTTCAGCCCCTTCTGGTTCCAAACACACATGACTTATTTTCTCGGGTTTCCTAATTCACTTCCTTCTGGCATCATTTATCCAACGACCATTGCATACACTTACAATAATGGACCCCATCCCCTCAATGTCACAATCGGTAATGTGATCCGTGAATCATGGTCACACAGTTCATCATTTTCCTTGATGTTTAAAAAAAAAAAAAGATTTTCTTCAAGTAGATAAAAGGAGTTTTCCATGTTGCCTTTTCTTTGTATTTTTATACAACCTACAGAGCTCACCAGAAATATTTTTGAAATTTCCAAAGATAGATTGCTCTCACAAGTCACATCCCTTTTTAATTTCCTTATTTTCCTTATTTTTCTCTGAAAAGTTTTGTACGACTATTTTTTTCCCCCAAGGCTTGGGATATTACAGACAGCTTGTTGGTCATATGAATGTTGGTAAAACTTGTAATAGAGGCAATCCTTTGTCTGCAACATAAATGCACTTTAAAATTTGGTATATCATCCTTAACACTAACATTGCTGGTGATTTTGGTAAAAGCACACGTTTTCTTGGGCACCATCTTGAAGATCGAATGAAGAGTTTTACAATCCATACTTTTTAATAACCAACATAGACTGTTTTCATATCTCAAAGAAATAATATTGCATGTACAGGAAAACCAACAATTAATACTATCTCATTGTTTTCTGTCTTTGAAGGACCTGGAGCCTGATTCCCAGTACACCGTCTGTGTGAGCACCATCCTTGTCAACCACACCCAGACCAATGCTGTGCTTCGGGATCAGTGTGTGGAGGTTCGGACACGATCACTATCCCTCAACGAGACGGGTCTCCCGGTCACGATGGTAGCCATCATTCTTGGAGGAGTTGTGGTTGCCCTGATCCTGGTCATGCTCCTGGCTCTGTGCTGTCAGCGCAAGTGTCTTCAGACGAGGCGTGCGGTCTTCGGAGCTGCCGCAACGGTCAGACGAGTTCGCCATCAACAGATGTGCGAGATCCACGGGAATCCAAAGGCACCTTTAACAGCCCGCCTTACCGGAAAAAAGAAGCCGTCTAAAAAGGAACACCAGTATAGCAAACCTGGGCCCCCAGTCAAGGAACGGGCGCTTCCAAAGATATCATCCCCAAACAACAGGGTTCAGCCAAGCCCAAGAACGCAAGCTGCGTTGATCCAAAAGACAGTAGTGCCAGTGCAGCACGCGAGGAAACCAGATATCACCACGGCACATATTGCGAAGAGATGTTTTCACGCCAACAACGCAAACAGCACGTCCGCAAAGGATCAACTCATCATTGATATTCCACCAACAGTACCTGAACATGACATTTGCATGAAAGCGATCAAGACAGCGGCACGGAAGCCGAACGACTACGCCACGCAGCAGAGCTACTATGCACGCTCCTACTCCATCTCCAGTTCTGAATACACCGAACATTCCATGTACGGGGGCCGAAGACTGTCTCCCCTCTCGATGACAGCAGCTGCAAAGACCACCACGCATCCGCCATCGAATGTCATTCGTGCTCTTCCTAGGACTGTCAGCAGCCATATGATGCGCCTTAAGAACGCTCGCGACAAGGACGCGACCACAGACTTTGATATGGCCAGAACATACTTCTTGCCAAAAGCATGATGATGCTGCAACTGTTATGTCATTCGCACTCTTCCTAGGACAGTCAGGAACCACATGATGCGCATTAAGAACGCTCGCGACAAGGACGCGACCAGAGACTTTGATATGGCCATAACGTACTTCTTACCAAAAGCATGATGATGCTGCAGCTGTTTCAACACTTGTGGAACTTCTTGCGATGCGTGGACGTTCAAAGACCATGCGTCCTTCAGTACCTACTTGAAAATAAGTCTTCAGCAAAAGGCAGATCAAAGAACTCTGCAGTTCTACAGCTGACAGACTGAAGACAGACTATAACTTATCAAGATTTAGCATGGTCTCGAGCCCAGAAGCTATCAAGCTGAAATAGGACACGAGTGTCCTGACAAAGTACAAACGTACATGCAGATATTTTCTATCAAATTGTAAATATGTAAACTTATGAATCAATCAAGTATCAACAAATGGTGGAGATTAAAGCAACGATGTCTTTGGGCGAGCATAAAGAAAAGAAATTGATAGCATGCAAAAGTAATAGCTTGATCATAGAATACCCTGATCAAACCTGTATAAGTTGTTAAAGGGTGCTTTAAAGTTCTTCTACTTTGCCAAAAATGTTCATAACTTGAAGTAAGGATATATGTATGTGTTACAATATTTGGAGAGCCTGCGTAATAATGTTGGAGCATATTGTTCTATCAATCATTATTACACAATTTCTCTAATATTTGGATGGGTCACTGTAACACAGTAAATCTGTGAGATTCCAATAAAGAAAGTAACACAGTGGCATTCTTTTCAAGCCAGAGACAAGGGGAGACAAAAAACAGCAGAGAAGAAATAGCTGCAAGAAGAAAAGTTTAAGTCAAAGTTGGAGAAATTTCATATGTATTGGAACAAAAATGCTTAGATCGAAGAGGCATATGGCACTTGTGATGCTGCTAGAAAAAAGGGCCTAATGAAAATGCCACAATTAAGCAGGCCTGTCTCTGGAAGAAAGAAAAATGTGAACAGGAATACTTTTGACCAACAGAAAAAATGTGCAAAGGAGACAGCACTACCTGAAATGTGCACTCTAAAGGAGTTGTGTACATGTAGATGATAGTGTGAATGACATTATTGCATTTTCCAGATTATGTGTTTGGTTACTATCAACATTTGTGTTAATGATTTTTAAGTGTCACCCAGCCAAACTGTTTTACATTTTAATATTTTGTAGATAATTAAGGAAAGAATAATATGCATATATATTTTTCTGAAGGATTGTTCCTTTTTTTGTATATCTTTCGGGGGGAATGTAAGGTCTATATTCTATCAAAATTACACCCAATGCTGGTTATCGGCAAATGGACAAAGGAAGTTAATAGTCTGAGGCCAAAGTTTTCCTTATGTTAAACATGATTTTAGACCCATGGTTACGTGTCACTGAATTAATAAAATATGGATGCAAGTATTTTGGTTTGTGTTCATGACCTGTGCTACTCACCAGATACAAAACAAGCCTCTAACTTCAAATTTGAAATCTCCCCATGAAGCTATAATACTAACAATCATTTTGCGATATATTTCATCAATATTTAAATGTAATATGATGTTGAATTCTTTGCTAAATAATGGAATGGAACAATAGCTCAGCTTTAACAGAATCCATGATATGCTTTAACTTTATGTATAACTTGCAAGCACTTTGTAAAATACACTTGAAAACGTGACAAATGGAACCATCTTGGATTCCATGACTTTGTAGATTTCCATTCATGTAATTTATTGTATATAGTGATGAGAAGAAACAGCTATGATTGAAAATTAATAAAAAAAAGATGAAAAGAAATAATTGTCTCAAGTACATTTTCTTCAAACAAGTGAGTACACTTTACAGCGTGATCTTTAAAAATAAGTGTCCATGTCATATCTTGAAGTTCAAAGATTTAGTGATCTACAAACTTTATACATTTGCTGTTCATGAAAGGGAGACAGTCGTCAGTATCCATGTGCAGAAGGCCATAATTCGCCGACACCAGACTTACCACTGATTAGGTGTACAAGTCTGCTCACAGCAAACTTGCTGTCCTATCAAAAAACACCCCCTATGGGACATTACAAGAAAGTTATGATTGATTGCAAGTTGCAAAATTTGCAACTGAAATTTGCAATCGATTGCAACTCAACTTTCTTGCAATGCCTCACTAGTCTCCTAAATTTTTCCTGGGATTTTGTTAGTATTAAAGTTTTAACAATTAAATTTAGTTAACTAGATCTAGCTTGTATCCCCCCACCCCCCCCCCCCCCCCCCTCTCTATCTCTCTTTCTCTGTCTCTCTTACTACTGGGGCGTTAAGAAAGTTCAGTTGTGCGATCAATTGCAAGACTTACGCTTGATTTGGGGGATTCGCAATTGATTGCAACTTTCTTACAACGTCCGCCTAGTCTCTCAATCTCAGAGACGATCTATACAAGTTCATGACTACATCTTCAGCAAGACACACTCATCAGTTCCACTTAGGACGATTATCACATGTATCACCAACTCTCCCTGGACCAATACTAGATACCCATCTCTTAAACCTCAAATTGATTCGCCATTTAGGCTTGGCATCAGTTCGAAAGCCTCCCATTTTTCTGGTTTTGTGGTTAGACTCCCTGCTCTGGCAACTTGCCGAATCCAATCCTGCCACTAAAACCAGTCTGCAACTGTCGTCTTTCCAGGTACCTCCCTGTCGGCTCCAATGGAGCTTGTATAGTTCCCTGCCAATTCATTTCACATTGGAAAATTAATCTGCTTAGTGCAATGGGTTGAAAATTCAAGAAGTAGGGATTGAAATAAGGAATCATGTTTAATGCTTTAAATCTAACATATTAAAGATGGTTCGTGTTTTTGTCCTGCTTTCAGGGGCTAAGGATTACCATTTGAGTCATTGGTTGATCTAAAAAAAATTGAATAGGTTTTTTTCATAACTAATGTTGGTATTAATTTTGCAAGATTTTCTAATGTTCCTATAGATTCAGATTCCTAACAACATCATTTCTCCAAACATATTTGAAAATACCAAGAAACAAGTTTACAATGAATTTCTTTCTACAAAATACTGTGTCATTTAATAGTCATAGTTTAAAGTTTGGTTGAACTTCAGAAATATTAAGAGTCTAATTAACAATTGATTATAATTTGGCAAAATCTAGGAATATTCTTTCCTCACAAACAAAAGTCCAGAAACCGTCTGAAATTTCATTCTCAATGATTAGACCAATACACCTGTGACCATCCTCCAATATACTGTAAAACTGGAAACTTTTCAGAACGACACCTACATGTACATCATCAATGATTGCATTTTCCAGCAATTAACATTTGCTGATTGCAGAGGTTCAGTGTTGCGATAATATGGTAGGTTGCATGAACCATTTGCAAATCTAAGCTGCTCATGAAATTCCTGTATGCTAAAGTTTCTGGCATTATAGCTATGTCCCTTTAATAAGGAATTCCCATGTGAAATGGTGTCCATGTTGCTGCTAGCTGTCATCAATCGGTTGTCAGGTTCTTTTCATGAAAAGGCACCACACAGTCACGGAAGTCTCTGAGTCACATTCATGCTTCATGAAGATCTAAAATAAGTTCTGTAGCCTGTCCAGACGAAAGGTAACTTTAATATATGAAACTCAATTGTAAAAGAAACGTTGTACAAAGAATCATTGTCTAGCAAAAGGAGAGTTCAGACAAGAAACAACATACAGTTAAAACTGCTTTAGTGACCACCTGTCTTTAAAGACCACCTGTCTACAAAGACCACATTTTTTGTTTCCCTTGAAAATGGTAAAATTCTTTTCATGAAAAGGCACCACACAGTCCCGGAAGCCTCTGAGTCACATTCATGCTTCATGAAAATCTAAAATAAGTTCTATAGTCTGTCCAGACGATAGGAAACTTACATGAAACATATAAAGGAACGATGTATAATTAAAGAATCATTGTATAGCGAAAGGAGCATACAGGCAAGAAACAACATACAGTCAAAACTGCTTTAGTGAACACTTGTCTACAAAGACCACATTTTTTGTTTCCCTTGAAAATTGTTTCTCTTTGAAGTACCTAAAGGAACCTGTCTACAAAGGCCGCCTTTTGTGTTTCCCTTGGGCGGTCACTATATTTAGACAGGTTTGACTGTAGTATAAAATAGGCATATTTAATACAAAACTAATTTTGAGAGGTCAGTGGACATGGCAGACAGCTAATCATTAGCCCGTGCCCATGAAAAGCCCTGCCCAGCTTTACGTTTTTTATTCGTTACCATTCGTGACCATGATTCTTTATTGAGTTTTCATTCAAAACGATGCTCAGACAGGTGGTTTGCTATATGACGTTTTGTTATACCACATTCAGACTTATTGTAAATCTAATGCTGACAGTCTGAACACAGGGCTAGACAACCTGAACACAATCCCCATTCAGATTTCAAATTCATAGAAATCTCTAGGGCAGTATATAATGTAGATTAAAAATAAGATATGCACTTACAAACGGAAGAAGAGGGAAGAGAAAGGATGAAAAAAGAAAGAAAAAAAAGAATGATGATTAAGAATTTGCTGAGGAAAGGTGAAGATGAAGGTGACAAGTCTAGAGGGATGCTGGAAGCTTTAACAGATGAGAGGATGCTGGTAATATTGTAGAATGGATGAAAGTTTAAGAAGAATTAAAAAGTTGATCATGAGAAAATAAAGCAGATGATAAGAGAAAGGGTGGAGAAAAGGAAGATGGAAATGGGAATTTTTTAAGCGTGCAGAGGTTGAACCACACATCCGATTTCTCTTATTCCGTTCAGATTGTAAGCTCTTCATTTTACATCATAAATTCTTAATGAATCATGTGTCATTCTCTGAACTCTCTCTCTCTCTCTTTATTTCTCTCTCTTTATTTCTCTCTCTTTATTTCTCTCTCTTTATCTCTCTTTCTCTTTCTTTCTTTCTCTTTATCTCTCTCTATATATCGCTCTTTCTCTCTCTATTTCTCTCTCTCTCTCTCTCTCTCTCTAAATATACAATTATTCATAGCACACAATTTCCTAGTCCATTCATGAATAGTCACATCCCAATTATTCATAATAATTCCAACCTGCACATTAGTATTGCTCTATTTTTATAGATTCCAAAACCACAAGTTTACTCCTCAGTAGAAGAGTGTAACCCACAAATCGGATCCCACAAATTTCGCAGAAAGGCAGAGGTTGATTACTGATGTAATGTACCAATGCTGAGACATAGCCACAAATTATTTTCACGAACATGCTGTAGCCAAGGTTAATACAAAAAGATGACTCATATACCTGTATTGTTTTAAACATCTTTTCAAGTTTTTCAACTTGTTAACTTATGGTCTAATGTACACAAATAGAATAGAAAACAAAAGAAAAATAAGACACCAAGATGACCAGATAAAAAACAATGTTGTGTTGGTGGTAATAGATGTTCAAGGAGATCATGAATAATGTTTGACATACAAATGTTAACATATTTTATCAGTTAGCTTTGTTTGTTTGTTTCTATTAAAGGTAGAGACAGTTTTTTTTTATTGATTATTCTGCTTTATCTCAAAGAACAATATATATCTCAATGAGGAAAGTAAAAACAACCCCAAATCTCTGACTGCAAACTTCCTTAAATCACCAGATCTTAAAAATAAATGATTACCGGTATTCTTAACTTGGTGCACTAAGAGGGCCAAAACATATCAAAATACATGTATTTTTCTGCTCTTATTTTCTTGAAATACTCAAGAAGCAACAATATTTCCAAATATACATGTACCATGTCAGAGGTACGAGGGGAGATCTTAAGTTTTTGTTAACCGTTCAATTTACACAATTTTCCATAGCACAGCCTTAACTTTAGATCTTTTCCCACCCAGATCACAGGCAGAAGTCAATTACCAAAAGCTCTAACACAGAGAGATCTGTGCCTCAGAATTATTTTAAGATATCGGTCTCAAATGTTTCCTAGATAATTGAGTTGTGGTAGCAAGTTCACGGCAAATGTGCAGAACATCGGTTAGAGTCTGGAATTAGCTTCATCCTTATTATAATTCCTTTTCCAGCCACTCCTTTAAAGAGGATACTTAAAGTGCTCCAATCACCCCCAGAAATATATTATTCAGTATGGTAGGGGTTTAATTTCATACTCTATTCAACAAATGAACTTTGAATCTTACTTCTATAAAGATATATTGCAAAACAATAGTTTAAATAACTCTAAATAAATTAAATTGAATTGTGAATAGACTGTTCGCCACACCCCTACGCGCCTGCACGTCCAACATTGATGCTGTGTGTGCATTTATTTTTCATAGTTGCTTTATATTCCTTATCTGTTTGCCCATAGAAAGCCGAATAAAGATTTTTAAGGTTGACATTACCCATCCTTGCTATACACAAATAATTTTTAGTTCATTTCTACACTTTAAAAGTGTATTCTTCAAGGATATGAACATCAGTGGGCTTAATTGGCTATGAAATGATATGAAAGAAATTGAGGTGAACATTCTATCAGAAGGTGTTTTGTATTACGGTAACTTTTTACAACACATGCCACACATACATGTATATCAATTATTCATCTCCCTGTGCCATATTGTGTTTATCATGGGATAGGTATCAAAGGCTTCAAGATTATTTAACTATTTCCACTGCAAGATTAATTTAAACCAGTGTTAAAAGGGTTGTCATGGAGCTAATCAAGACTGGAAATGGGTCATTTTGCAAAGAAATTGTGTTGCACTAAGGGCGCGTTCATGCTTGATTTTGACGGCCAGAATCAGGCATCTGTTACGCGTTTAGTTTAAAAC